CTTCATTACCCATTCAAGCCGTCTCCAGCCATTATTAGTCTCAAAGTGGGTTCCTCGTCATCGAATTGCAATAATGTAGTTTGGTGGAATAAAAGCAATAGGTGTGTAAATTCTAACCCCTGATTTTTGCGTTGTAAGTTCGTAAACTTTCCGTTCACCCACCTGGAGACAAACGCAGGTTTTATAACATAGGCCTGCGAATTTAAAATTCATAAAAGTTGTTTTGGTTTTTATAACGGATTTTCCTTAATTCAGCTACGCAGATTTCGAAAACAATATTCATTTTTTCCATCACATAAGGATTTTTTTTACAAATCGGGAAGAAAAAAAGAACTCTTTATCAGATCAAATTATTATTTAGTTTACCACAATAAACATTTTTTATTATTATGTTTGTTATGTTTGGGTTCCAGAACGATCGATAAGACTCTCACGTCGCGATTGGTATAGAGAAATCTATAGGCCAGTGGTTGTCAACATTTAAGTATAACAACATGTGACCTGATTTCAATGAAAATGATTCACTTATGTAAAAGTACACTTGATGTTTTGGTAAAAAATTTGTACGTGATGGAGAAAATGGATATCATTTTCGGATTAGCCCCCCAGTGGCACAGCAGCATGTCTGCGGACTTACAACGCTAGAATCCGGGTTTCGATACCCGTGGTGAGCAGCGCACAGATAGCCCATTGTGTAGCTTTGTGCTTAATTACAAACAAACAAACAATTTTCGGATTCAGCGTACAGGAATTACTGTAGAAGATATAAAAAGTTCAAGACAATAAAACCATCGTAGGACTGTGTAATTAATCAACAAATCACTACCCTTGTCTAGCCGGAGTTTTCACAATATTCAAATCGTTTCTCGTACTCTCAATAAAATTTATGAACTTCTTATCTTCTAACCTTTTGTGTTTCTTTTTTGTTGTCTTAGTTCCGGCTTGAAGCTTTTTTCGGGAGCAAAACCCTACATACAGTGTTTTGTGCTTAAAGCAAACAGCGGCATTGTTTTTTATAGTATAGAACTTCGAACAATGTCCTTGGTGAACTTTTTGACAATTTTATTCTAAACTTATCACAACAATAAGGTTTTGTTTATGGTAAAATCTTCACATCGCAAAGAACAGCTTATAATTCATCTTGATAAAATACCTTTTCGTGTAATTTTTTAGACATGTGATTTTCAGTAGGATAAATGAGTCGCTTAGATTAAATAGAGGTGAAAACAACTGAATGGAAATCATTTTAAGTATATTTCCATGCATTATACATCAAAACAAAGATTATTCTACCGGAAGCCATACAAATACCTTTGTTTGTGGACTATTGGGCAATCATAATAATCTTAAAAACCATAGAAATGTCATAACTAATTCGTCTAGTTACTGTAGTAACAGTTGTTTAGCTAAATAATTACGACTAGCAGTAGGAAAATGTGAGATATGCAGAACAATTGAAATGTAAAATTTAGCTGAGAAACACATGGGAAATATTATGTTCTTTACCTCTTTAGGCCATTTTTCAAATGAAAATAACTTTATTATTTGACCGCTACTTCTTACTTACACTGACGACTTATTTTATAAAAAATTTCAATATATCAAATTGAACGTTTTTAAAAATATTATGGAAACAGAATTTTTGTCTTTATAAGATTCCCTCTCACCAGTAACCCAGTTGTAAGTTTGATTAAAATGAGTTACGATACCCGTGAAAGGCACACACAAATAGCCCAATGTATAGTTTTATGCTTAACAACCTTTAGAACTTAATTTTTACCCCCCACCCCCCACACACACACACTCACTAATCCCGGAGAAAATATTTGGGTGTTTGAGTTGTTATCGTTATTTTTCACTTAGGCCTACACTACAATTAATAACACAGGGTTCGTTGCTTTGTTTTATTTATATGAAAAAAGTAGAGGAATAAAAGAGCAAAATGTATAATAATGCGGAGGAATTGCACACAATAAATTCGGCATCTTACTAAAACGTCTAAAGAATATTACTAAAAAAATAAAAATAAATCATGAAATGCTTTCTTTTAATACGATGGTACTTAATTTTGGCCTGCTACGACCTGGTGGTTAAGGCATTCGTTCGAATCCCCATCCCTTTCAGCCATGAGGGCGTTTATAATGTAATAGTCAATCTTACTATTTGTTGGCAAAAGAGTAATCCAAGTTCATGATGTCAGAAAAAAACACGTAGGTTCAATAAGTCTTGTGAAAAACCACAGTAAACGGAACAAACTGCCAGAAGTCTGATATTAGATAAACTGAAGAGGACGCACGAATGTGTCGAAACTAGTTTCTTCAATAAGTCTTGATACAAAACGATAAAAACCTTACTGCCCAAGTGCTTTCGAAAGGTGGACCTTTCTTCTTCAGTTTGCCCCTATAGAAGAAAGGTCCGCCTTTCGAAAGCGCTCGGGTTATAGGGTTTTTATCATTTTGTATCAAGAGTAACCCAAGTGTTGGCATTGGGTGGTGTTGATAGCTGCCTTCCCTTTAGTCCATCACTGCTAAATTAGGAACGGTGGCTCAGATAGCCCTGGAAATTGAAACTAAACCAAACGAACTACATCTCACGTGGTTTTCAGTATCAACGTAAATTATACGATGTTTATAGTTATCTATTTTATAATTTCCCTTTGAAAATTAACTTGGAATAACATTTATAACAAAATTTAAAAACACTTAAAGATTGAAACCATGACTGGGAATAGTTGTGTTGAATAAAGTACTGTTACGACAGCGGAAGTCACGTGACTCTGGTAACACTAATGAGTTCTAGAAAGATCGGGGAACATCACGAATAATCCAGTATTTGCTAGGCGCCCTCTATTCTTGTATATAAGTGAGCCAGACAATTAATCGGGATTGAATAGCGGACAGAAAGATTGAAGCTATAGACGGACAATTGAGTCAAGCGCGGTAGTAAGTAAAGTGCGTGAATCGTTCGTTGAGAATTATAGCGTGTGATTAAGTGACTGTGGAAATTAAGTGTATTGCAAAGTTGTATTGAGAAAGAATAAACTAGTTTTATGTACGAAAGGAATTGTATCGCTGAAGTTTCTCGGGAAGAATTTCTACCCGAAATTATCAAACGAGCAGAGACGTAACATTACTTTGGATTCATAAGTCGTTAACATAACCAGCGATCGAACATATTTACGATTTTCAACTGGATATTTGATTGTACTGTATGACAATTAATCGCAAACCTGTTACTGAATTCATAGATCCTACTACTACTTATAGCTGCGAAGCTTCCTATTCTCCTTCATTTAAACATTCTCGAAGAAGAATTGCGACGTTATCGCTAAGGAAAATGGTGTGCGTAAACTATCGTAACGGCCTAAAATGATGAAAATGAAGTTCAGCGAATAAAATTACAGCAGTTACTTAGCTAGTCTGGTAGAAAGGTATAATGAAGCTCCCCCCCCCCCAAATTATTTAAAAGGTTGAGTAATAAATGAAAAAGTTAGTGATTGTCAAAAGAACGAAACATGTCTTGTGCTGTTGTAGATCATAATAATTAGATTTAAAATCATATTTTGATAAACTATATATTGAGACTGTAGGTTTCAAATTGAACAGCTCTGTGCAAGCTTGTTTTTGCCTACGATATGCAATGCGCCAAATTTATATATGTGTAGAAAACACGTATTAACAAAAACTGAAATCCTGGGAATATTATTATTATCATTATTTTTGCTAAACCCTATCACATTCCTGTCAAAAACTAGTATCTTAAAGTTCGAAGAACTGATTGTACTTTTTTTTTCTCGCACTAATGGGATCTTACTTAATGCTTAGCTTTCATGATATGCCTGCTACTTATTTCAATGTTAGATGATGAAATGTATGTACTATGCTTTCTAATTTAGATGTTAAATATTTTGTGTGTGATTTGGCTAAAAAGAATATTGACGTCACGTGATGAGCGCGTGGTTTAACGTCTGAAAAATCTCTTTAATTTTGAAAGATCAAGAAACGATTTGGATGGTGTAAATCACGAGTTAAATTAGTGGATATATTACATTTGTGGATTGATTATTGAATGGCGAGTTTGTTTATTAGTAAGTTTGTTACTTCACTTTTATGAATATTGAGTTTTTGTTATAATGAAGTACTAGGTTTGAGAGAAGTTACTAAGTAAATTAATAAAACTGTTGTATTAGGACTTACCGTGAAATTAGGCCTATCATTATCAAGAAACATAATAGAGCTAAAGTTGAAGCTCAGGAAATATCACGCTTTTGTTATCATTAATAATATATATGTTGGCCGAACCCTTTTGTATTTTACTGAATAATCCAGAAAAATCCGCTCAACAATAAAAATAGATATAATATCGATCTTACAGTTATTTGGGGAAGAAAATCATCTCAACGTTGTTTTATTTAATCATTTTTTCTTTAAACGAGTTAACATCTTTTTTTTATAACATGTACGGTTTTAAATTTAAGGTAACCGTCATTGTAACAGTATTCATCATGAAAACTTACTGCCTTAATCTTTTTCTAAATACACTTTTTACCGGAAAAAGATTATTAGAAAGACTCTTTCAATACAACTTCAACAATGCTGTTTATTTTCCTACGAAGAATTTCCAAAGTGGAAAAAATCTACAGGTAAGTACAAACAGTTCGTTAAACTGAACCTTGTCTCATTCTTAGTCTTACTTAATTAATAATAATCATTTTTTCCTTCTGTGAAATATATAGTTTATTGTGAGCTTGCATGCAAAACAACTTCAAAAATGGTGTTTAAATAATTTTAATCAAGGAGGAGATTATATGTAGAGGAATCCTATAGAAAAGTACAAAGAATACATTAAGCCCAGCGATATGTCTTTTATATTTTTATATATATTTAATAAACATAAAACATTCCTTCCTTTGTAAGCCACATGGTGTCACATGAATGTGTGAGCGAGAATCAACAAGGGTTTGGTTAACCTACGGAAGATACTAGTGGCGATTTAAATATTTTCTACATTCGAATTGCAAGGATTTTTCTTTCCTTTATGGAAAGAAAAGTATAAAAATGAGCCAAATTCGTTTTACTAACCATCACTGTTGACTGTGGGTGTTGTATCGCCTGACAGTTGAGTCTTATTGCTACAAGTGGATGCATTATCGGAGTAAGATTCGTGGATACATAACCAAGGTATTTTCTTTTGTAGCTCCAAACGATATTTGGGGTGGTTTATGGCGTATATAAAAGGATCGAAACAGGCGGAAGCTTTTAAAGTCAGAGCCGGTACCATGGACATTAGCGGAGTGATTAGTTGTCGTTCTTTTGTTGAAAAAGCTCCAATAAAAGCGACAAGAATGTAAGGAACCCAAGAAAAGAGAAAAAGCATGATAATTCCAAAGGCAACCTTTGCGATTCGAATTTCTCCTCGTGTATCTTTCTGGTTCTGGTTGGTTCTTAAATTCTCCACATTCATTTTCTTAGCTTGTTCGCGCAATTGATTCTCGTGGTCCCGAACAGCTGCGTAGATTCGAAAATAACAACAAAAGATAATGATGACTGGAATGAACCAAGCAAAGAACCAGATGCAGAAAATGAACGATCTGCCATTCAGGTCATGCTGGAAGTAGTCTGCAGTACAACTCGTCAGGTAGCCCTCGGGAACGTACCGGTTCCATATCTCAAAAGCTGGTAGTAGCGCAAAAGGACTGACATATAGAACAATCCCCAATAACATTGCAACTGCCTTCTTGTTCGTAAGTTTGGAGGAACTGAAAGGACAGGCAATCACACGATATCTGTCGTAGGAAATGACAGCGTTGCAAAATGCAGACATTAACCCGGAATAGGCGCCAACAGTACCATAGATGATACATCCTAAATTTAAAAAGGAAACAAACGATATTATTTGTAAAATGTGAAAACTTTATAAGTTCATGACTTTGCCTTATCTAAGGTTTACTTAAAAGTTACATAATGTGTTTTTCTTGTAACTGGAAAAAACAAGCATATTTCTGTTTTACCTTGGGTTATTATTACCTCAAAACATATATATTATTAACCTCACATTTCATAGATAACTAAAATAAATTTTGCGAAATCAAACTTGAGCAACATAGAAGCAGAAAAATGCAGTCGAGGTAGTCAAACGTCGGTAAATTCCTTTGTGAGCCAATCAAAATTCAGATCGTTCATGAAATGAATTCGTGGCGTATTCGTAGAATAATTATTGGTAAAAATTCAGTTACATTAACAATTTCTAATATATATAGAAAAGCTAGTGCGTTTTAGTAACACTACGTTCGAACAATGGATTTTATGTCATGTTGCATAGCAACAAAAGTATAACTTAATATTATTGTTAGTCTACGACCAAGTACTGAGCGTATAAAATAAGATGTGTAGACAAATAAAAAAATGGAAATATATTTGTTGCTTTCTTAATTTAGAGTCTCCGTTGATTAAAGAGGTTTGTTTTTTTATTAAAAACGTTGGTGATATAACAGAAAATAGCTTAATTCAGAAATGTTTTAAGTTTAAAATTGAATCGATATTTTTACTTTCATGATAAATTTCATGCACTTGGCTCTAGGCTAGGTGATCCCACACTATGTCTTTACTTTAGGCTTATTATGCCAACACTCACTATACTCATAAGGTTTCACGACACACACCCCTCACGACCCCTTGCACCCCCGTCACTAAAATCGTAATAGGCAGACAGTAATCGAACTACGTTATCTGTATAAATGCATTTTGGCTTTTATGACTCCTCCTATTTCGAGAAATCAAGCGTGACGTGACACACACTGGCTTTTTTATAGGTTATATATAATATACTATACCAGTAAAATATATTGTTTGTTTGTTTGTAGTTAAGCATAAAGCTACACAATGGGCTA